CTGGATAAACCTCTGAATGGACTGTGTGCTCTTTTTTCTGGAGCGTTTACCTCGGACTATAGGAGCTAGCTTAGCATGCTAGCTGGAAACACGTTAGCAACACTAGTCAGATTGAGAGTTTGATGCAGAGAGAAACGGTGTGTTTAACGGAGTCTGCAGGGAAAGGTGATCTAGGAAACATGAGTAAAGTCCAAATGCTGCTGTCGTTGAAGAAGCAGCGACTCACTGCTGCTAATGAAGAGATATTTGCTCTGTTTGAACAAACAATAGCAGAGCTCGAGGAGGAGCTGTTTCTTTCCAAAGAGGAGAAGAAGAGACTCCAGAAACTACTGGACGCTGTTTCACAGCCTCAGCTTCGGATACACAGAGCAGGTCTGTTCCCTTTACCCTTAATTAACACTTTACACTCTTCAGTAGCACTTTATTATCACATTAATAACACTTTAGACCCTTTATCAGCACTTGCTGCAGGTAGCAGATCCTGAAGTAAAGTACAAACACCACACAGTGAAAATACTCCATTACCAGTTAAAGTACTGCATTCATATCTTATTTAAGTAAAAGTATGTAAGTATTATTAGACAGATGTACTTTATTATAATAATTCAAATGTATTTCGGAAGAGCAAACCTACCAAAATAAATATATTTATAAAAATACATACATTGAATAATATGCCATTTAATGTACTGATTTAAATATGACCCATGCATGTGGGCACTAGGAGTGGAGTGTATGGAGGACGGAACATGACTTAAGTATAAATAAATAAATGTATGAAGAAATACAGGAATAAATAAATAAATACGTAAATAAATAAATAAATACAGGAATAAATAAATACAGGAATAAATAATTGACGAAATAAATACAGAAATAAATAAATGTTGAAATGAATACACAAATAAATAAATAAAAGAATAAATGCATAAATAAATGCATAAATAAATATGGAAATAAATACATCAATGTATAAATAAATAAATAAAAGTCGAAAATAAAACAGAACACACGTTATTATATATCTTTCATTTATTTCTACATTTACGCGACATACATTTATTTATTTATGTATTTATGTGTCCGTATGCTAATGAGGTGGGCGGTCCTAACCTCAGTCTGAAGCAGGATTGGTTACAGGAGTGTGTGATCATTTCTGGCAGAGGGCTCTACTACTAACGCCTGGATAACCGCGCTGATTCGAATGCAGGAGCTTTACTGTTTAGCCCTTATCTTTATACATCCATGGTTTATCCACAGTTGTAAGGTTTATTTATGGATATTGATTTAAGAGCCATTGGAGATCATTTACGATCATTAGCGGACCATTTAGAGAATGGAGAACCAAAAGACTATGTCCAGTTTCGTGTGGAACGATGTATAGAGGACTTGGCTCAGCTCGACATGGATGTGGATGTTAACCCAGCTGTGTTTGAGAGTCTTCAAGAGGTTGCCCGCCAACTTGAAATCCTCTCGGAAACAGAGGAGGCGACCCTTGGGCGTCCATCTTACATGTTGCCCCTAAACGTTATTGAAGCACATCTTCGTTGGGGCCACACCGCTGGGGACATCGCGCAGGTGTTCGGGGTGTGCGAAAGAACAATTCGTCGGAGGATGACACAGAACGGGATACGGTAGGTTTAATCCGCATTCTTTCACGTTTTTTGTCTGGATTTCCTTACTTTTATTGTTTTGGCGTAGGCTATATCAGTGTACACATTTGTTAGACGCATTAACTTGTGTTTAGTAATGATAACGTTTCATTAGCCTACATTTTCTCCATCCAAATTAGCCTACTTGTTTACATATTTATTAAAATGGTAATAGGCCATTTATATGTTGAAACCAATACATCAGATAGACATGTGTCGGGGCAAAGATACAAACATGCTTTGTACACAAAGCAAAGGTACCATTACCTCAGACATGATGTAGGCCTAATAATAGTAATGAGGTTTAAGAGACCAGCTCATTTGTTTCAGATGACACCTACATCTTTCAATGCAGGTTAGTACAGAGCAACACACTCATTCTGATGTGTTTTGATTGTACAGTGCAAAAGGTGACTATTGTTTATTGTGACTTACTATTGTTTCGTTATTTTTGATGATCAGGGTCCAAGATCTATTAACTCTGTTAGATGACAACAGTTTGGATGAAACTGTTACCCAAATTCTACAGCATCATCCCAACTCTGGATACAAAATGATGGTGGGGTACCTGAATGCACGAGGGATACGCATACAAAGTAAGGGATTGTTATTATTATAATAATCCTCCATGCAGTGTTTTTTTTTTACTACTTGATAATGAATCACATTATTCTGGCATATTTAGGAATGCTTTACTTTTCATTATGTTACTTGCAGTACACCATATCTCTGCATTTCCCCGAATATAACAGGACAGCGTGTCCAGGAATCCATGCGGCGTGTTGATCCAGGTGGAGTCTTGATTCGCACTCTGCAGCTGAACCCAAGAAGGCGTAGGAAGTACTTTGTACCAGCACCGAACAGTTTATGGCACATCGACGGAAATCACAAACTGATTAGGTATAGTATAATCATTAACACTCAAGCATTGCTCAAACATCCACTTCACTACAGTTACAAAAGATGGGACCATCTAAAGTGTTCTTATAATCAATCAGCTTCAATGCAAACCAGACTTCAAGATTCAAAGGCTATATTGTCATATGCATGATAGCTTTTTTTATTGGTTGGTTATGAAAATCTGAAGTCTCAGTCTCCTCTAACAATGCAACATACAATATTCTGTAGACATAAAAACAAGTTAAAACACTGCAAGAAGAAATATAAATGAAATGTATCAAATGATTAATTGCACCAAATTCCTCTGCATGCAAATTACTTTTACTATCAAAATTAAGATGATTTATGTTTTGTAATTATAACTTTTAGTAGGATAAGGCACCTTTTAAAATGTATAAATGTCTGTACATACATTAGTGGATTGACCTTAATGTGTGCCTATACATATCCCTTTAGGTGGCGTTTTGTTGTGCATGGTGGTATTGACGGCTTTAGTCGTCTCATCGTGTACTTGAGTGCTGCCACCAACAATCGGGCAGCAACAGTTTTAAGAAGCTTTTTGGAAGCCGCCAATGTCTACGGTGTGCCATCACGTGTGAGGTCAGATAAAGGTGGAGAAAATGTTGACGTTGCACGCTACATGGTGGCAAACCGAGGAGAGAACAGGAATTCACACATTGCTGGCAGGAGTGTCCATAATCAAAGGTACCTTAAACTTCAAGTCAAACTTTTATCAAATTAAGTCCTTGGTAAAGATTGCAATGTCAACTATATGTCTTTAGCTATTATTAATTGTATTTTTGTTCGTCTTCCTCTGTGAGATAAAACCATAGAACTAAAAAAGTTATATTTCTATAATACAAACACTATAATTATGACACCAACTGTATAATTTGACAAGAAGGATAACAATATTTTTCAAACATCTATTTAGTGGAAGTCCCAGCACGTTGCATGACCGGGCAAATTACTGTTGGAACTTGGATTTTGAATGTATTTTCCAGTCAAGAGAACCTTACATTAATATTGAACAACAACAGTTAATGTGGCATAAATATGGCATTAGTCCGTCTTTTTTTATACATCCATAGTATGTTCAGCTGATATATTTCCTGATCCAGTTTCAACAAAGCTTACAGTATAAAAACCTCACCCAAGTTTGATGAACTTTGCTCAAGCAAAATGATTTTTGCTAAATCCAATTTCCAGCTTTTTTCCAGAGGCATTATTGTGCACTTGCCACTTAATCAGGAACATTTTCCTATTGAAATCGGCAAAAATGTTAATACTTAGCTTCTAATTAATGTAATTCAATTCTAAATTTACTTACCATTTATGGTAGGTGAAAGGTGATATTTGTAAGTTTTTTTTTTTTGTTCACTGAGCAGACTAAATATTTTCCTTCCTTTTTCCTCAAAAGGATAGAAAGGCTCTGGAGAGACGTTTATGTAGGAGTGCTGGATCTCTTCTACACAATGTTTTTCAACCTAGAGAGAGAAGGCCTTCTCAATCCTGACTGTGAAGTGCATCTCTATGCTCTGCACTGGTGCTTTGTGCCCCACATACAGAAGCACCTGCAGTTTTTCCAGCAAGGCTGGAACTGCCACCGACTAAGCACTGAGGGAAACCGGTCCCCACTGCAACTGTGGACTCGCCATGAGCGTGAGGCCCAGCAGGAACATATACAGGTTTGATTGTATTCAATAGTTTTATTTTGACTTTGACTTTACTTTCCTACATGGGACCATGTTAACACTAATACCCACTTTTTCTGTCATTACACAAACTGTTTAAAACAAATAATACAAGTGAGTATAGTTTCACAATGTAACAAATAGTGGCCTGTTGTCGAGGAAACTGAATGTGATGGAATTATTTTATTCTGCATATCATCGGCACTTTAAACACTTCTATGAGGTATTCCTAAAATGCTGTGATCAACCAGAACAAGCGGTTAAGGAAGATAATGATACATCAGGGCTTTCTGCTCTCTAATGATTTGATTGATGTCAGCTGTTCATGAGACATTAATCAGGAATTCCAGGAGATGATACAAAACGGTTATATAAAATGAATTAACTGACAAATATATTAAAACTTTGATTTTGGTTGACTCTAACTTTAGCTCTTGCAATTGCAGGTTGACATTGAGTTTGGAGTTGACTGGACTGGACCATGTGCTCATCGCCTGCCTCATGTTATGGTTCCTGAAGTTCAGCTGCAACGTTCACTGACTGACCAGGAAGTGGAAAGACTTCCAGACCCTGATGGCCCTCTGTCCAATGTGTGGAATGTCTATGTACAAACTGTGGGCTTATTGACTGAAATGCTACAGTAAATGTGTGTGTGTATCAAAAGTCTGTTGCTGTGGGAAATGTAGTCTTTTAAAGTTTCGACTAGGACGATTAGGTGACAATATTTGACTGAGTTACATGAAGACGCTGGTACCAAGATTCAGTATATTTCGATTTTAATACAATAAAAATTAGATGGTAATGAAGTTACGTTCAGTAGTCATTTGAAACATGTGTTGCACTGAACATATGCTTGTTGTGAATCAACACTTACTGTAATGCATCAAGAAATATACATTTGTTACAGTTAATGAACATTTTGTAACGAATATCAATTTAAAACTTTGAAAATATATAAAGATAAACATGCTTTCTTTGTTATGTGCAATAACAAGGAAAGCATGTTTATCTTTATATATTTTCAGTGTTACACAAACTGGCCGGAGTATAGGCATTAACTGAGTTTTTTTTCCTCTCTGAAAACATACATTTTTGGCCGGCCAAACAAAAGACAACAAATCTAGTACTAAGGTGTGTCCGTCTCTTCAGACCATCCCGAACCCAGTTTCAGTGCTCCAAATAGCAGCAAGAATGTCCCTTTCAAACATACAGTACTCTTTGTAATGTCCTGGAAGTTTCAGCTGGTGAAAGCATGTGGAAGAGCTGGGGAAGTTGCTCTCCACCACGGTCACATCCAGGCCATGTCTAGGAAGCACATTCCATCCTATCCAGAACTGCACAAGTTTCCCAAGGATAACGGGAGATGCTTTATAAAACAGAGAATAAATTCATTTTATTATAATTGCTTTCAGTTAATAGTTAAATAACAATAATGTTACTTAAATTACGCCTTGGATTGTTACTGTAGCTTTAAAGATAAAAACAGAGGAAGCGCAGCTTTCGTTATAATAATTACAAACTTTCAGTAAACAAAGCTTGAAGACGTTGTTTTACCCATCTCAATAAATGTGCGCAGGAATCCTGTGAGCCTACAGGAATCCTCCAAAGAGACTTCACTGTCTTCATCCTCATCCTGTGTGGGCCAGTTTATCTTCTCCAACACCATCTGACAGATTTCGTTTTGAAAGGAGCCCAGTGAAAGCACAATAATAAACAGAACATACAAGAAACTGCAGGTTTTGCTGTGTAGCAGCAGAGTAGTCTAAAGATACAGTTGTTCTATTGGTTTAGCTCCTTTTAAGCAGCAAGTAGCATCATTTCATTTCAAAATATGTTTGCGTAGGTGAATGTTTGTTTTAATAAACTTAAAGCAATGTAGGTCTGAGAGTAGTAAATAAACCCAATTTCTAACTCCTGTGAGTTAGGAGGAAGGATTTGACTGAGCAGCATGAGATCACTTACCCGTGGTGTGCACTGCAAATCAGATGCTCTTGGAAAGAGAAGGGGAATCGTGTCTTTCCTCTCCGTCAGCAGAGGCCAGATCAGTGTCTCTTTTAAACCCCTTCGTAACTGCTTGACTTGTCTGGAGGTTCTTCCAAGGACCTGCACAATATTTGCATCACAGTAGAAAAGCAAAGCAGCCTGATTGATCTAATAGCCCAATAAGCATGTTTTAATACACTATTAACATCCAAATATGTATTTAACAAAAAAGCTCAAATGTGATATGCCAAAATGAGGTCCTACTTCAAAACTTCAACTCTGATTAGTCAGTCTGATTCATATGACCTGTTAAGAATACTCACAGCATGGAGGATCAGTTTATCAAATAGCCATCTCCTGTTGTCACATGTGACTAGAGGCAAATCCCAGGACAGTGCCAACTCATTGATGAGCTTTTTTTCTTCTGATGATAACTCTGCTGTTCCCTCCAGCTAATAATGGCAAGTAGAATGAATTTGATAAGAATCGTTAATTTCTCAATACTTGTATAAACATTCAACTTTGATACAACATAAGAAGTTTAACTTATAATCAGCATGTTAGTTGGTAACCTGTAAAAGCTATGTTTTGTCAAAAAACATCTTATAGGAGGACATCTGTAAGTGTTCTAATGATATTTAATATATCAGTGCATGGTGTTTTATAATGCTTCAGTAACTCCTGCTGGTGCAAAGTGTAGCCACTTGATGTTAACAGTATCTGAAAGTAGATCAGCTAAATAAATAATATCCAAAGGTTGAATAATAAAATAGGTTAGAAAAACATTGAACATACCAACTTGATTGTCTCACGGATATCAAGGTCAACACAGTCCTTAATATCTATTGTGGCTTCTTCTGGGGATCCACCAAAGAGCACATGCAGGACAGCTGGGCTCAGTCCACCTAGGCATGGCCCATCATGGAGGAATGAATGTCCAATCATTCGGTCAGCAACAACAAAGAAGTCACTCTCCAAAAGGAGATGAGAAGTGGATGGAATCAGATGATCTTGTTCTCCTTCAAAAAGAAGAGTTCCTCCAGGCACTGCAAATATAGGAAAACAGTCAAAGTAAATTGATAGTAAAGTAAAGGACATAGATATTCAACTATCACAAAGCATTAGTAAAGGAATGATCAAACCGCCACTGGATACTGGTTGATCCTGTAGAAACCTACATGTTCACAGCAGCTACAATCACATCAGGTTTTAGGAATACGTTTTGTTTTCTGGGGTTAAGGGACAGATCTGTGTTCAGCCTGGAACTGGTACAAAAACACACATAACTTAGTGGCTGAGACCCAGCGATCAGCCATAGTAAATATTTACTTACCAAACTTCATCTCAAAACCAGCCTGAAGTTTTGACATGATGGTTGCAAAGAAATGCCGAGTCACACCATCACCAATGGCTGGATCTCCTTAAAAATGTAAACACACACTACAGACATCAGTTTAACGAAAATATGGTTTGTTCATTTTTTTATCTTGGATTTTGTTTGTAACCGAATTACCCTTAAGTGTGCATGTCAAGGGGCAAGCCCACTCAACATTTGCCTTCTTATAAAAAGTAAGGACTGCTCTTTCCCTTTCCGCTGCACTGTCTCCAAGATCCATAGTAAGACACAAGGATTTTCCAGTTGCATGCTGGCTTAAAATGTCTTCTTTAAACATCTTTGCTGCCTCTGTGGGATCTGGCGCTATTCTCCAATCTAAAAATAGTTTAAAAGGTTTCCAAATTAATATTGGATCAAGTGAAATGTAGAGAGCAACAACTTATTGCAATACATGATGTACTTAATAAAGGATGTTACACACCAGAGAAGCCACTTTCCTCAGTGGGATCGATGTCAACTACCTCAGGAGAAGGCAACATTTCCTGAGGTGGCACCGAGTGTCTTGTGTTCCTGGCCCTTGTTGTCTCATTTCCCTGTGCTCCTGTGAACGTGCTTTCAAATCTAACTTGACTTCCGGAGGCCCTTTCAGTTGTCAACTCAATCTGTACCTCACCGCTGCTCTGTGATGGTCTAGTGTAAAAAGAGGTTATTTCTGTTATTTGGTCTAGTATACTTTACATTACATATCACACTCTAGAAAAAGATGGGCATATACATAGAATGAAAAGTAAACCAAATGTTACTTTTCCTCAAAACCAACATCCAGAATGTATATCTTTCATATTTAAATGTATTATAGAGGACAGCAGAATATGGTGTTACAGAGGGATTGTTGGAACAAAAAGTACTAATATCTGGCCCCATAATTATAAAACCTCAGATGTGCTGATATGTCAAAATATTTTACATCCATTTGCAGCATCCCACAGCCTTATGCTTATTGGTTATTGTGTGTCTACATATGCAGTTGCAGTGTGCCTGGCGAATGTGATGTTTAGTTCTGTAGAGAGTAATACCTCGTGCAGTTATTGCTGTGATCCTTGATTCTGGAAAAGGGGAACTCCTCTCCACAGATGACACATTTCTGATTTGGTCCAATTAACACGTTGTCGCCTTCTGATCGACATGCCTGTAAACAAAATAGTTTTAAACTACATCACAAGCGAACAATTATGTTACTGTAAGTCACAGATTCCACTTTAATATTGTGACACCACTATAGAAGTGAGGAACTTACAGGGTCCAAATTCAGGGTTCTTTGCATTGGTCTAATGAAAACCGTAGAATGGCCAATCTGGGTCTGAGGGTCCTTCAAATATCTGACATAGTAACCCTCATTGGGACAGGGGATCACAATCAAGTGGCGACTTCTCGTAGTGCCAGATATTTTTAGCAACTCGAAACCGCCACCGTTCCGCAGTTTTGGATAGGCATCCATCAAGAATTCGAGGAATTCATTTGAATCTGTATGGCTGCCTAGAAATAGATGATACACATAAGAGATCTAACATAAAGATAATGTTATGATTGTAAGGGTAACTCAATATATTTATATATCACAAATGTACATTTACCATAAAAAATAGACAGAAAAGGAAAGAGCGATTGATAATCGTCATTCTAATGACTGACAGACCTTTAAATGTGAGCCGTTTTTCACCAAAGCCAGCAGCAGCGAGTCTTTCTTTGGCGTATCGGTTGGGGACTAAGGCTGCATTCTTGTCCTCAAGGCAACAGAATAAATGGGTATAAGGATGCAGGTGTGCAGGACCAGAAAGGGTTTGCCGCCCTGCCGTCCTCCTCCCTCCCATGTAGGGGCCAAACAGTCTTGAAACTTCGGCTAGGATCAAGTTAAGAAGATAAGCAATATTGAGTGCAAGGAAATAATGATTCAACGAGAATCCAGGGGGGAAATGTTGGTTAGCGTTAGCATCACACACTATAAATATAATGATCCCTTCAAGCTGGTGGACAGAAACTGAATCAAATAACTTGTCATTGGCGATATAAACTTAGTAAACTGATCGGATTTGCATTACAAATAATTTGATGCAAAGACCTACCGTCCACTGGGTGTCTGGGAGTCCCGTTATGTAACGGATGAGGAGGAGGAGACGAAACTGGCGCGTTAGCGGTCCTTGGTGCTGCACAAAACATAACATAGCGCCACATTGGGTACAAAACTGTACATTGGCATTTTAACACACAGATCAGTTTTTTTACATTGTCATATCAGTCTTACACTAGACCAAAACATGAGTCACTTACAGTTTTCAAGCTGGTTAGCCGCATCCCGCAGAAGGTCTGCCAGCGCCCTTCCAGCCGAAGCCATTATTAGCGAGTTGCCGACAATGTACACAGAATGTACAGATGTGACTTGCCACGAATCTATTGCTTCTGCCTGGCTCCAACAATTGGCGAATCCTGCTTCAGACTGAGGTTAGGACCGCCCACCTCATTAGCATACGGACACATAAATACATAAATAAATAAATGTATGTCGCGTAAATGTAGAAATAAATGAAAGATATATAATAACGTGTGTTCTGTTTTATTTTCGACTTTTATTTATTTATTTATACATTGATGTATTATTTCCATATTTATTTATGCATTTATTCTTTTATTTATTTATTTGTGTATTAATTTCAACATTTATTTATTTCTGTATTTATTTCGTCATTTATTTATTCCTGTATTTATTTATTCCTGTATTTATTTATTTATTTACGTATTTATTTATTTATTCCTGTATTTCTTCATACATTTATTTATTTATACTTAAGTCATGTTCCGTCCTCCATAGGAGTGCACCAACTGGGCGTAAAAAAGTAGGGCCTAACTCTAACGTCGGGCTTAGCTACGTCCGACTTAGTGATTCAAATTTACACCGAGTGCACCAAGCCTGACTAGTCTCGGGCGTAGCTGCGCCTGGTCTTAAGATGCGCGTCCACGTGAATACACGTGAAACAGTAATTGTTGCCAAGCAACACACGTCTATATAATTTAATACTTGAACTCCTCCATTCAGAGCAAGCTAGGAATTGAATAACGAATATGGATAACGGAAAGAAGAGAAAAAAATATTTTACTGATAGAGAGATTAGAACATTAATGGAAATATATGCAGAGCATAACAACTCGCTAACTGCCAAATGTAATAATACCATGACAGACAAACACAAACTCGCAGCCTGGAAGTCAATCACTGGTGCGATAAATGACTTGGGTGATGGAGGGATACGGACGGTGGAAGAGTGTAGGAAAAAGTGGAAGGACCTACTATCCAGAGCCAAAAAGGATGCATCGGTTCTCAAAAACCCTCCGACCGGCGGAGGCCCTGCTCCAAAAACCTCTCCATACAGCAAAATCATTATTGCTATTTTTGGAGAGGATTCCCCCACTTTCACCGGGTCGAATGGGATCGACAGCTCAGAGCCGTCAACCTCAACATTTGAAGAGGTTGACGGCAGACGTGTCAGCTGTCACTAGTGGTAAGTCATTAATAGAGTAACATCACCCTACATTATCTATATGCATATTACCCCCACGTGAGACATCACGGCTAGCAAGATAACAATTAACAATCGCGGCAGTTGATAGAAACTGACAATAACTGACAGTAACTTGCCATTTTACAGACTCAGAGGACCGCAGAGAAGAGGAAAGTCCCACACCCACAGCGTCAGCGATGACTCAAGGGGAATCCCAAATGGCCACACCCCAAAAGAGAAAGAGGGATTTGTCAGAGCTACAGCGGGAACTGACAGAGAAAGAAATCGTTCGTGTGGAGGTGGAGACCGTCAAATTGAGAGTGGAACACGAATAAATTGAGATGTAGAAATTGAGACTCCAAATAATAATGAGAGACAGACAGACAGACAGACAGACAGACAGACCTTTAAATGGAAGATCCCCATAGGCCCCGCCCACTCGATCTGATCGGTATCGGCCGATGCTGATTCCGGCCATCTCACCCCCTCCTCCATGCTTCACGGTGGGAACCACTCATGCAGAAACCATCCGCTCACCTTCTCTGCGTCACAGACACGGAGGTTGGAACCAAAACCAAAAATCTCTCATTTGGACCCATCAGACCAAAGTACAGATTTCCACTTTCTAATGTCCAATCCTTGTGTTTCTTGGCCCAAACAATTTTCTTCTTGTTGTTCATCCTCAGTAGTGGATCTTTGCAGCAATTGGACCTTGAAGGCCTGATTCACGCAGTCTCCTCTGAACAGTGGATGTTGAGATTGTCTGCTACATGAGCTCTGTGATCATTTATGTGGGCTCTAATCTGAGGAGCTTTAATTTGTGGTTTCTGAGCCTGGTAACTCTGATGTGTTTATCCTCTGAGCAGAGGTAACTCTTGCTCTTCCTTTCCCGGGGGGTCCTCATGAGAGCCAGTCTCATCATAGCGTTCCATGGTTTTTGCCACTGCACTTGAGGATACATTCAAAGTTCTTGACATTTTCCGGATCGCCTGGCCTTCATTTCTTAAAGTGATGATGGACGGTCGCTTCTCTTTACTGAGTTGAGTCGTTCTTGCTATAATATGGATTACAACAGCAGTCAAATAGGGCTTTCCACTGTGCGCTATCTCTACCTCTGCACAACACAACTGATGGTCTCAAACACATTCAGAAGGCAAGTCATTCCACACATTGACTCTTGACAAGGCACACGTGTTAATAGAAAACCATTCCAGGTGACGACCTCATGAAGCTGACTGAGAGAAGCCAAGAGTGAGCAAAGCTGTCATCAAGGCAAAAGGGGCTACTTTGAAGAATCTAAAATAAAAATAATTCTTTTTTTTTTAACACTTTTTTTGTTAACTAGATAATTCCATATTAGGCCATAAGGTGAACCCTGTTATCGTTTCAACCCGCTCCACAGAAGTGAAACTACACAATCTTTAGTTCATAAAAAAGAACGAGTCATGCTTATCCACCAAAAAAAATATCGTCGCTAAAATTCCTGCCAATTCTTCTAGGCACGTAATTATTGGCTGAACTAGTCCCTTCGAAGCGTAATAATATCTTGGTCCAAAGTCGTGCCACGGTTCGTCACGTGATCGTGCTACACCAATTGGGTAGCTGCATATTGTCAACAGAAGTGAAAGATGGCGGCCGCCATGGTTACGCTAAACCAGACCAAATGGATTCTAAACAGTGCTGTATGCTTGTTTTATGTCATGTTTTGTCATATGTCTTAATACATCACTAAGTCCGAGGTATTTGCGTTATATACGCGGTATTTGTGAGAGGTTTTACTATCTGGGAACAGAGTTGACCATCGAATCAACATTGACTAGCAGCGTTTATCAGCCAACTCCAGCTACAAACAATTTCCCCACGGGGATTAATAAAGTATATCAAACTCATATTTATCAAACTATCATTCCTGGACTGCCATGTTCACATCGCTAGGTTCATTGGGATTATTCCATTAGACTGAGGACTTTTTGTCTGTCTGTTGTTACCCTGTACACGTTAAATGCACTCTTAAAATAAACATGACTTGATTTTCTGCGTCCAAGAATAAGGTTAACTTGTTACGTTAAGTAATTTAGATCAATAAATGCAGTACTTCCAGGCTGAAGACTTTTCTTTTGTTGCTGCTTTTAATTGAACTATTCATATCTTAGACTGCACTGTAACTTTTATCCATGTATTTTTTCTTTTAATGTTTCTTTATTAGCTTTTCTTTTGAATGACTGATTTTAAATGCCATTTTCTTAATGTCTTTAATTTTTTGTAAAACACTTTGAATTGCCTTGTGTTGAAAAGTGCTATATAAATAAACTTGCCTTGCCTTACTTATACCAATGTCCATTGATTCATTTATTTACTCATTCATCCCTCCACAAATGAAAACAACACTGATGAACCATAAAAACGAGATTTATTACAAATATAAAAGGTATGACATAGAAAACAGTAGAAGGACATGTAATGTAGTATAATTGATTGGTGTCAGGCTGGGCGGAGCGGCTGATTGGTGCTGTGATTGCCTCAGCTGGTTAAAAGAGTCCTGCTGATTATACTCTGTTCTAGTACCAAAAACAAACGTATCTATGAGTGATGTGACACTTCTACTAGTGTCAGTTGGGCAAGGCTAGTGTCTAGACTCAAAACTGTGTCCCATGATGCACAATGTCCCAGTCTGTTAAGCAGTGATACAATGCGTGATGATCCAGTTAAATGTCGAACAGTTAAACCTAAAGCCAAGGACTTGGGTGTCTGCTTGCGGCCCTTGGAAGCAAGGTACACAATGTCTTGACAAACAGACAACACTTTCAAATGTACGTCATCATCAATGTTGACATAATGATCCAGTGTTGGCTCCTCAGTGGAACCTATAATCCAGCTGAGCAGATTGTATAGTCCAATGGGGACAACAGTTTGAGATTCAGTGACATTTACATTTTCAGAAGTGGGAGGCCATGGGCATGACATGCCAGGAGTGTCACTAAGCAGTCTTTTTCAAAAACACGCTGCTGTATACAGTGTCCTTGTGTCCTCATGTGTTGTTTGGCACTTTGTTCTCCCTGTTTCATTGTCGCTGTCTGTCTGGCTCAATTCACTGGACTGTGTTGTTTCCGTACCGGATGGATCTGGTAGCATGTCCACGAGTGCATCCTTTGACAGAGTCTCAGCAAAAACCAGTTCGCAGACGTTGCGCTTGGTGGGCATGTGAAACGCTAGCTGAGGGAAATCTTGAGCCAGCCTCTTCTTCAACA